AGAAATGCCAACATATGAATAGTTCCACATATATTAATTAAGATCAGAGACCATTTAACCTCAGAATACCCCATATTTTGTCCTTCATTGTTCTCAGAGTTTTCATGGTTTTGTGGTTTCTCTCTCTCATGGTTTGTTCCATGGTTTCATTACTAGTCTCTCTCTTCCTTCTAGATTTCAAAGTCTTTTTCTTGTGCTATTTTATTTTAGTTTTCTTACAGCTGTCAAATGGAAATAAAGTGATGAGACAAAGTTTTGAATAACACTCAGCATAAAAACTGTGTACTGATACAGTTCTTTATTTCCTTGACTGTGGCCTGATTCAGTTCTTATTCTGATTGAGAACATTCCCTAGAGGGTATATAATTGTATAATTTTAAGAATTTATTTTCCATCTGTTAAGAAACTTTGTGTATTTAATCTACATAGCATGCATTAATTAGCTACTAGGCAAGTGTTTTACTTGTTTGGGAACTCATGTTGTCAGATCCTCCTTTTATGCTGAGAAAGAAACACACAATATTGGGTCTTTTCATTAAAATGAGGACCAAAAGGAAATATTTTTCGTACTTTACAAGAAGTATTGAGAAATAAAACCAGCAGTATCTTTAAACATTAGTAGTAACTAACATTTAGAATTTCTGGCTATAATTCAGACCTTTTACTTGTAGCACAAAAACTCAGAAGAGTGACATTTTTTATGATCTCTGTTGGCCTGACTGTAGTCCTTAAGGTGCTTCAGATGTTGCTCCCATGACGACCTTGCCATGAACATCTCTCTATTTATGTTTGTTGAATTTGGTTTTTGTAATACTTAAGGAATTAAGTTGATCAGATCTATGCTAACTTTAGACAGCCCATGAGAATATTACAGCCCTTTTCCTTGCTTTACAGAACCAGAAGTTTCCCTTTTAACTACCAGAAGAAGGACAGGATTTTTTACCTGAAAACTGTTTTGGAAGTCCTGGATTCATGACAAAGGAGCAATAGGTGGGCAAAATTTTAATGGCGTGCACTAGTTGAATAGTACATGTAACTCAGAAAAGATCTCCACTATGTCATGGTCCAAAACTGCTAAATTCAGCAAGCACTGGGAGCATCTACCTCTTGCAAACAAGTTTCTGTTCATCAGTTAACTTTGACACCATTCTTCTTTGATGGGCAGTTTCCCTGTTTGCTGCCTGGACTGAAATTTACTAAGGACTGGGACAGGTCATTGCCTTAAGAAGATGCTGACAGTTGTTTTAAGAGAATGCCTCTCATAACTCTCCCTCTGAGTTTCAGTTGATATAACCAATCTCTAGTTTCTGAAGCTAAAACAGATCTTATCTCAATCTCTTTGAAAAAGTTAATTTCTTAACAACTCCACTACTCCAATAAACACAAAAAATACAAGGCTGGAGTGTAATTTATCCCTTGACCATGGAAGAAATCGAAGAACTATTAGAGAATAATCCATACCTTGTGCCGTAATCTTACTAGGGGCTGATAGGGCCTAAAGTCGTATCCTTCCTTGACTGGCCACCCATCTGCTCCCAGCAAAATGCATCCAAGAAGTAAAAGAGCAGACCACCACATAAACATCTTTACAGGTCTGTTCCTGTGAAAATAAAATGTACAAGTTCAGAGATGCAGAGTTACTTTAGCATAAACCATATAATAAAGGTTTACAATACTGATAATCCAATTGTGGACTTGAATAAATCTAGGAAAATCAATCTGTCACAACAGCAAAGAGAAAAAATGGTAGTAGTATTTGGGACAGCAGTATCAATTTGGTTGTGCTGAACTGAGAAGTTTCTTATCACTATTCAGTACTCATATGAGGGAGTCACGGAGGAAACAACCACAAAAAGTCAAAGAAAAGATAGAACAAGAGAAAAGCAGTGGTGAAAAATTCTCAAATGAAAGAAAAAAATTATCATCATTCACATGTTCATCAACTTTTTATTTTAAATGTGGTCTCTTGCGAGGCAGTGTTCACAACCTAAGAGCCTATAATAATCATACATGCATATTTATAGATACATATGGCATGAGAGTTACCTTATATGGTTCCTAATTGATGTACACATGCACATTACATAAGTGGTTTCAGAACCTATTAGAGATATGCAATATTCATTATTGATATTCAGCATTTGTGTTGAAACCATCTAGTTAAACAGACAACACAGCAAACCAATCTTCATTACTTCAAGATATTCCCAAGTCAGTCTGCTCAGTCTTTATTATTTAGTCCTGCATTATGGGACATAGATGAGCCACTTTCATGCATGAGTGGTTTTTTTTTCCCCTTTCCACTTTGCTTTTAGTTCACTTACCCTGACAATGTAGAAGCCTCTGATAAGAATCAAGATATACAGGAATGAGTACAAAACATCATAAGTGTGCCCTAGGAGCCCAGATTGTGCTCCGAGTTTTCAAGTCTTGCCTGACATTTTCTTTTCTATGGGAAATCATCTGAGCATAAAATGTGAACAAATTTGGGATCACTTATTAACCTGTATCATTTAGAGTCATGCTCCTGGCAATACTGTTACACACGCTGTGGTTTTGATTCCTATCATTCTTCACATAGCAGTAGTCTTCACAGTCACCTGAAGGCAGAGAGACTGAATAGAATTAATTCCTGTGGAGTTCTCAAATGTAGTAAATGTACTCTGCTCTTACCTCTATTCACAGTCTCAGTAACAGATCCTACTTAAATCTGCTACCCTTCTTTGGGGACTACTCTACCAAACTTGGTAAAACCATTTAAAGGTCTGTTTCATCCTCATTCCAGCTGATTTTTACCAGCCTGCCTCGCCTTCACACTTGTAATTCAAACAAAAACTCAACATTAATACATCATATTACTTTGACATCACTTACCTTTTGTTCCACCAAACCCAATCTCATTCTGGGTCTCCCTATTAATCAAACTTAACATTTTGTCTCATTTATCATTACTTATTCCAACAGTTTCCACTTCAATTACCTTTCTTTGGCGCTCCAGCTTTTCTAATATGCATAGTCAAAGTATCTCTCTTAGGAGAGCTTGCATAGAATACATTAAGCAGAGAATTATTAGAAACACAGAAAACAAGCTCCATTACAGAGAGATATTTTACATAAATAACTTGAGGCTTGTTCTTTTACACCTGTTTGGTAACAGGATATTATAGTGAGGATAGGAAATGACACAGTGAAATTTTCTTCTTGAGTTCCCCTCACACTTCCATTAAAACAGAAGGGCTAATCAGATATTCTGGTGGACCTATGCTATGAGATTATTACAACTAATCTAGTTTACTGATGGGAAACACCAAAAGATTGTTTCAGAGCTCTGAGGATTCAAGTACATTATGGCATGGCATTTTCGTCCACTGATTCTGTGTTAGTTCTCAGTATCACTGTTACTGGAAAAGTAAGTCCATTAAAAAAACAAAAAAAACCAAAAACATAACAAAACAAAAAAAAAAAAAAGCAAAAGAAATATGGAAAATCAGAATCTTGATTTTTAATCTCAAATAAAACACTTTTCTATGTGTGTTTGCTGATTTATTTTTTTTTTTTAAATACTTAATTATTGACTTCTAAGGTCAGAATCAGATTAGTTTAGCACTTGTGGATGCTAAGACTAGCTATGCATGGTTAACATTTGTCCCCTTTGTGCACTTCTGGAATACCTCTCCGCAGAATGAAAATTTGGTTGGAAAACAGTCATTTCACAGAAGGCTGTAAGAGCAGCCACACTCCACCACCCTCCCACAAACTGAATATATTTTAGTCTCATGTCGTGTAAAAGAATAGAGCCCTTATAGTGTTGAAAATTGTTTGACCTTGAAAGGCTTATGCCTTGTACTTGTACAGAAGAAGAGAAAATTATTACATGCTCAGTTTCTGACTTCATTGCCTGGGACTTGGATGAACACTTACAACACAAATTTAAAAAGTAAGCTCTTTGAACAGATGCCACCTAAAATCCCAGAAGTATGTAGGGTCTATGCAGTTATTATTTGCCTTTTTAGAATTTAAAATATCCACTTTTTTTTAAGTAGTATATGTTTTTTATTTAATTTACTGGCTATCCTAAATTCTTATTTATTTAAAAATTACTATTGAAACCACAGTTCTCCTTAATACAATAGTATTATGAAGCATTGATTTTAATAAAAATTATGATCTGTCCTAAAGACTTATATTGTTAGAGAGTTGAACTAAGAGCAGGAATAAAAATTACTTTTCAGATCTTCATTACAGCTTCAGATTTTGGTGCTGCATATAACCGAACAGAAAGAAATAATGTATCAAGACTATATATTCATGCTACCTAAAACTGCTTCTTTCTTATTTCTACTTGAAGGTACAGCCTAAATTAGAAGCAAAGAGGGTCTTACTTGTCTTTTAATATTATATCATCAAGAAATTAGAAGTTGTGTTTTGAAAGAATTGTTCTATCCTGCATTCTGGGGCAAAATGACATATTTCTGAACTCAAATTTGCATTAATGACCTAGGTTATCTACTCATTAATTATAATCTGGCAGAACTTGATGTTTCAGTGTTTAGATGATATTCTTCTGTATTTTTAACTTCATTAACTACATATTTGTAAAGAAATTGCTCATAGGTTTTTATTATATGTCTACTTTTATTTTCACAGAAGACTGTTGCTGCTTTATATTCATACAACCATGTTTGGAAATCTGATGAGTTTACTTGGTTAACTCTTCCTTTAAGCAGATACCAGTCTGTATATCTGTATTTTTTTCTTTCTCTGCACATTTCTCACTTATAATATAGGTTATAGGTTAAATGCAAAGTAAAATTTAAATATTATAAAATATTCTACTACATATTTTATGTATGTATGTATGTGTGTGTATATATATATATATATATGATTTTTCTGCCAGTAAACACTGAACAGAAATTCTTAAACAACTACTAGCAATAACTCCATATCTTCCATCCTATTAATGCAAATAGTTAATTTACAGTTATGCATTGCATATAAATAATTAGGGGGTGCACACAAATAAGTAGGGTGCTGAGTTTCTCTCCTCAATATGCATTAATTTTCTTATTAACAATGAGCTTAATGGACTATTTTAGCATCAAATTGATTTATGTTGCAGGAGTCTTATGTGTTGTTGGTCATCCTTAGATTTTCCTCATGAGCTGAGGAGGAATAGAACGAAGAATGTCGAACAGATAATGGTTGTTCCTTACACTGTACAGTAATTTCATCAGTATCAAATTTAGATTTTCCTTTCTGATTCTCAGAAGACTCTGTCATTTCACTTTTTAGCTCATTTCCAGAGCACTCATGAATCTGATGTTCTCTGCAGTTTTCTCACTATTGATTTCTTTCCATTTCAGTTACTTCTGAAATTTTTTTACAAATTATTATCCATAAGAGGATTCTTTTATTCTGTGTCAAGTTTATACCTTAAAACTCTTGGATGAGAAGCACGGCTGGAAGAGCTGTAGTTTCTGAATAACAAAAGGATATCTCACATGCCTTATTTAGGTAAGGGAATTGGGACCCTTAAGTAATTTTCAGGGGTTTTTTTGGGTTTTTTTAAGCAAAGAAAACTACATGAAAAATTCACGGAGATTCCACCACCACCCTGATGATCAGACAGTTACCACTGAGTCAGAGACAGTTTCCTTTAATTCTTGAGAAAATGTAGTGCAAACCTGTATCTCCCTTTTCTCTCCTGCTAGTGCTTTTCACCCTTGCAACCTTGCAACAAACTAAATCCAAGTTCTGACACCTTACTTATGAACTTCTAATAATGATTAATATAGTCTACAACACCATAGTGAGTGTTTCCTCTCAAAGTTATTATGACTTCTAAATCTTCTCGGCAGCTCATTGGTAATATAAATTTTGTTCTTTGTCTAACTTTTTCTTGTTGGAATAAGAAAGAGACTGCTACTATGAAAGTTTAGCAAATGCATAATAAGCACTACTTTACCTGTCCCCATGCTGTAATCTTCAGAGAAGATTGAAAAGATATAATATTTTACACAACCATTTCCAAATGTAATAATGTGTATTTAGAGTGTACTAAAAAAATTTAATTAATGTAACCTGGCTTAGCCAGAGTTCGTATAAAGAATTAAAACATATACCAAATTACAAGAATACACTATTTTAAAACGTATACATATTTAAAATTAGGAACTTTGTTATTTTCAAACCTATTTTTTTTTTTTGTTTGTTTCCAGAATTCCTCAGCCATTATGCTCTGTTCTGTGTTCATAAATGGTGATCACCAGATATTTGGCATTAAGAAGAGAGGTAGAATTCATCTGAAAATGTAAATATTCCACCTCAATAAACTGATCTGATCAACTTAATGCCCCTACAAAGTATAAATTATGGAATCTTAAATACTGGCCCAATCACCACATTCCTCCTGCCTTTAAAAGAATTCATATAGCAGATATTAACCAGGCATTATTTAAGAGGTCAGTTTCAACATATCAAGGAGTAGTACTGTATGCTCTTAGGAAATGTCAGCCTCTGTCTTTTACATATTATTAATCTAAAAAAAAAAAAAAGAATAAAATTAATTGTCTATTTTGTGCTGTTTTGTGGGGATCAGAAAAAGACCATATTCAGTGTTACTAATAGGTATATAATACAGCCACAGTAATAAATATAAACCATGCTTCATTGCCTGTGACTTTGAGGATTTCAGTGCATATAATGATGGATACAAATAACCAGCCATGAAAGTATACACTGCTATCTTAAGATGCTTTTATCTGCTCCTATGGTTTCATGGCAGAAAGGTAGCAGCAAACAGAGTATTTTCTTGTGTAGAGACTATTATACTGCATTAACTTTGAATGAATAGAAGTTTTAGCTAAAAGCATGCCTTTTCCCATGAGCCTGGTCTACCCTAGTGCCCCACATCTTCACACACAGACTTCCTTCAAAAACCTTCCAACAGTAATCTTTACACCAAAAATGGGGTTCTTACAAAGCAGCCACGGTATCACATTTTCTTATGAATACAGCTGTAACCCATATCTAGCAGTGCTTCTCCTTGTCAAAACGCAACGTGGAAAGCAGATCACAGTGTCATGGGGGCAGCTCTCACCCACACAACTTCCTGACAGCTTTTGAGCACTGCACACTTCATGCTGTCACCTTCCAGTTCTCCTCCAGAAGTGGCAGCCACACTCTGAACCAGAGTTGCTAGGTCACCTTAACTACGTACAGCAGGCTTGGGGCTCACAACAGTGAAGTGCAGCGCTGCCACGGCAGCCAACAGCTCGTACATCTGCGTACCAATCTGTTCTGTCTATCAGCTGTGACTTTATGTGGCTACAGCCACTCACTGTGCAGGCACATGCTATTCATCCTTCACCCACCAAAACAGGCTGGCAAGTCATTTTGGAATCGCCAGCAACGCTACTGACAGCTCGTGTGCTGGAACACGCAGGATGAGAAATACTTTTTTTTAAAAAAAGTCACAAAAAAGCCCTTGTCATACCAGCTGTATCCTGCCTTCTGCTGACTCCTGTTCATCTGCCTCTCTCCTTTCCTGATTTAAACTGCAAAACCATCACACTGCATAAGCAGAAAGTGGAGTGCAGGCCCCTGAACCCCTGTATACTGCACTTGGTCCTTGTGCAGACATTGCGAACGTGTCAGGTGTCTCCAAGGCAGGTACGTCCAGGCACCACCACGGTGAGCAGCCAGCACAAGGGCCAGACTTCCCTGCCTTCCACTGCTTCTCTCCCTGTCCTCCCACCACTTGCATTGCCAGATGCTGGTAGGTAAGAGCAGCAGCCCAGGCAGCCCATCCCTTCTCTGTGGGGGGATACAAGCAAGATCCATTTGCCCAGGGCTTCTCCAAAGGGCTTCTTTAGAATTGGCCCTAAAGATTTACAGTGGCTCATGAACCTGTACACAAATGGCCTGATCGTACCAGGGCCATTTCTAAAATGCCAAAATACCTGAAATGCAGATGCAGCAAGGACATTTATCTATGCTGCTAAATTCATGCTCTAATTTCATTTTACAATTTTCAGTATATTTTTTTTAATTTATATAAAGAATGACACCCAAATGGCTTAGTGTCAGTGACCCCAATTTCAGTAGATTTTAACAAAATGAGAAATGGCCATTTTAAACCTTTCTTATAAGTTCTTCACACGGTCTCATGATTTCTTTAGTATTTCAGAAAGAAGAACAAAATGAGGGTACTATAGTTCACATATCACAGAGGAGCTTTGTTTAATGGATTCGAGTTGTGTGTATTGATTTCTTTTCTCCCAAGACTTCAGTATCAACCTCAGGGTGGTTTTAGCATCATTGATATATGCAAGTGCTGGTTTGTGGAGGTTACACTGTTAGCTAGGTGGTCTCTTTCTTCCCTCATTAAGCAAACTTGTCACAGCTGGTTCCTCAATATCCTAAAGGATTAATGTTTACCATCATGGCAGTATCTGAACTGATTCGACCACTTTATGTTACGAAACCAGAAACAGAAAACCTGCCATCTTAGAACTCAGGTGAATAGCTTGGTACTGTAAATATTTTCCAAAATTTGTAAATTGACACCTAGTATACCATTCTGTAGCTGTGTCCTTTGCACATGCTAGAAAAGATAAATATTTTGGTTTTCAAGTTTTTAATACTGTTCTTCTAAAATAAAACACTACTAACATTAACTAAATGTAAGAAGAAACAACAGCTGTTGGCACTTCCATAGTAAATTGTTAAGAGTACATTTGAGAGAAAACATCACCCTACAGAAAGCAAAATAGCTGCTTAAGATACAACTTTTTTTTTTAAGCAGATGAGATGCTAAATTGAAGACTAAAATTCTCCATATTTGCTGTGATAAACTCATTTACTACCCATACTTCTCTCTTTTGTTATTCAAGAAGTTACTGAGGTTTGGTAAGACAACCAGCAGTAGTTACCAACAAAACCATTGAAACCTGTGTATTATTGAACTCCTTGGATGAATGCTAAACCATATGTCTACCATTACTTCAAACAGCCATGATAAGTTAGAGAATAATCTTCTACTAAGTATTCTGGTTAATATTACAATTTTATCCCTTTACATCTATGAAACTCTCTCTTGAAATGCTGTAGCCAACAGAGATGGATCCCATCTTTTTACTCAGTGAAAGAGATTCTTCAATAACTCAGCTGGTTTAAACTCAACCCACCTGGAGATTGTTCCTCAAGATCACCATAAAAATGTCAAAGTCTGGAATAGAAAGGTTTGAGGTTTTTGCCTCTAACTGGATTTGAAGTAACAAAAGAACTATAAAGGACTATCGAAGGAAACCAAGTCCTAAACTACAAAAATGTAAAGAGAGAAGGTAGTTAGGGACAGGGGAAGTAGTTTTTCAGCACAGGATGAGAAGATCAGTAGAGTGCATATCAGCAAGAGTTGTGACATGGGAAAGTCTCTGACATGCAAGAAACTGTGAGCTCCTGAAACGCAGAAGGACATGGATGATGCACTCTGGTGTGATGGAGAGGAGTCTAGACACCAGTACAAACACTGACAGGAAATGTGAAATTATCAAACTGCAGAGAATAAGGATGCATGTGGATTTGGGTCTCATTGGATTGAAGCACAGCTCAATCAGTAACCAAACAGACCAATGAATGTTGCAGCTATTTAAATAAACAAGGACTGTCTGTAGCTGAGGGCAGTTTGTCCTTATCAAGATTGAACCAAAAATACATTTGCCCTCCAGTACTCTCCCCCAGTGCCCACATTAATATAATTAAGTTGCCTATAGATGAAATCCTGACCTAATTGACAACATGAAAAAAACTGAAGTCCACATTTAATAAGTCCAGAATTTCACCCTGTTTATAGGATTTAGTTACAATGAACATTCACAAGAATGGAAACAAACCTTTAAAGCAACTGTGCTAACTAAAATGAAAAAAAAAAAAATCAAAGTTTCTTGTGATTGTTTTTAGAAAAAAATCTATGTTCATATAAGTTCTCAGAAGTATACAAATAAAGTGTTCTGTTCTTGAATAGCCAAATTAGTTACACATATTTTCTCTTTTTCAACTTAACAGCTGTGGAGTTTTTTGCCTCTCCTTCCCTGCTTTGTGGTGACTCAATTCTCTTTTTTCTTTATTACCACAAAGGTCAACTTTCTTCATAAGCATCAATTCAGCACAATCAGAAAGAAATACAGACAGTAGCACTTGTTTTGTCAGTCATAAAGTTGGCATAGTGCCATGTGCTTGGATGTTTAAGTCCAAGTCTATAAAAGAAAGAATTTCTCACCTTACGTAAAAAGAAATTAACAACCTGAGAAAAATAGGAGGGAAACACATACAGTTTCTGAAATTTTATAGAACAAAAAACCTCACCCTATCATACCTGATTAAAAAAAAAATTACTTTAACAGCTGACTCAGTCATTTGCATTCTACTATTTATATTAAATCTACTGCATCATTATAGTATGTAGTCATTTTCCTAGAAAAACTGCAGTCTTTCAATTTTTGCAAATATATTTCTATTCAAACAATGCATTTCTCATATTGCATGCTTACAACCCCATTCAAAAGGATCTAAACCTACATTTCCTGCTATGTTTTAACTGTCATACTATTTTACTGGGTTTTACTGTTTATGGTTTTGTACCACTTTAATATAACTACTAGGAAGAAGCCTTCCAAATGCATGCTAGAAATCTGACAGTAAACCAGAAAAAACCTACCATTTTCTGATTAGGTTGTAGCTAAATAGGTTTGTAAAAAAAAGACTTTTATTCAAAAATTCTTTAGCTAAAAAATTTGTCATTTCTAAGAATGGAATGGAGATAATACAAAGCAAGGAGTAGCCAGTATGATGTGGTGATGAAATGGTACTATGTGGAAGGAATGTATTTTGTGTCTCCTCAACCACCATTAATACACTGAAAACAATATTTTTTGAACAATGTCTTAAAAAACCAAAAAGTTTTATATATTTTATTTGTTTTGGGGTTTTGAGGGAGATTTTTTTCACTGGTTATTTTTGGAAAGGCAAAAAGGTAAATATCCTCAGTTTTATTTATACAATAGAAATTCACAAAAATGTTAATGTAGAATTGACTGGAATTAAGTTTTGACCATCAATGTGCCAGGAAACAGTAGAAACAGCCTCTTGACCAAGAAAACCCTATATTTCAAGAAGAAATTAATGCTCAGATGCCATCACCAGACACTCTATATCACAACTGCTGTGAACTCTGTGCACAGATAAGAGCATCCCATCTCTTCTCATGTGAAAGTTTCACTCCAAAACTACAGCCTGAAGAGCGACCACCCCACCTCCCTGAAATATAAGTTTGTGCTCCCTTTTTCATCCC